AGAAAAGAAATGCACAAAATGCAGGGGGATGAGGCTGGGAGGAGGCAAGGGCAAGGGGGCTACCTGTGTTCCCAGATTAATTATCCCTACTATAGCTGTGGAAGGGCAACAAATTCAAGGCAAACCTCCAATAATTCGGTTCTATAACTGGAAAATTATAATAAATTTATACATTTTCCATACATAGAATCTAATTATTGGGAGGCTATCTGATATTCAAGTAAATATGGTAAATACAAAAGCATAAAGTAATTTAAATACAAAGGCCAAAGAACAAGGGAGGAAAGGAGAGGGCACTGGTAAGAGGTGAAGATGGGGTGAAGAAATAAAAGGGGAAGAACAAAACCATTAACTGACTGAAGAACATAGGGATTATAAAAACTAGACTACGTAATATGATTCAATTGATTCAAGAATGATTTCTTGTTCCACAGTTTCAGGTTCAAGTTATTTTTTAAAGTTTTGGTGTTTAAGAACAGCTATTCTGAGGTCAGTGATGAAATATCCAGAGAGGTCAAAGTGTTCTGCGCAAGGCTTGTTTTTCTTTCTGGAATTGATAGGTTCATGCCTTTCTGAACAAGTTAGTCTATAATGTGCCACCCTTCTCTGCTTCCTAAAAAGAAGTTACATTTGCCTGTTGAAAAAAAATGCTTAAATTTTTATCATATTTAACATTAATTCAAATTTGGTTATGAATAGACAGTGTTTAAAAATGGGAACCCATTTCTATATGTATCCCCCCCACATGCCACCCAGATCATTTTCTGTTTCATTTACTGACATTGACAAATTTTTGCCCATCAGCAGTTCAGAACCTGTAGAGCAGTTAAAGAATAAACTACATCCTATATTCAAGTAACAACCACTACAGCCATCTTAGTTCTGATGCCAGACTGTTCATGGCTGCTGGAGACATAAGAACCAGAACGAAGACTGCTTTGTCTTCTGAGAGCAGACTGAATTTGCAACAGTTGTAGTCTTATGAAATCTGGTTTAAGGAAAAATCAGATCGTCTAAAGCAGGGATCAGCAACCTATGGTCTGCAGGCTGGATCCAGCCTACAAGGAGGTCCAAACTGGTTTGGGTGATGATGGCACAGAGCTGCACTGTGCAAACCATCACTTCTGCAGAACTTGAGCCCAGCCATACCCTCCAGAGAGCTTGAGCTGTAACAAGATGTCTTAACTAATCTGCTACCCTGCCTCTTAATGTTGGCAAGGGTCCCAATGACACTGATTAACAAAACTGTTAACCATAGATTTTAAGCCCAGAAGGGAATGGTCTAGTCTGACCTTCTGCAAAACAAAATTCATGGGATTTCACTTTGTACTTCCTGTTTGAAGGCCATAACTTTTAGAAAGGCATCCTATCTTGACTTAGAGACTTCAGGTGATGAAGAATCCATCATATCTCTTAATACAATCATCCACTAACTAATTATCCTAATGAGTTAAGTGGAAACAAGATTTTGCCTTATGCAAACACTTATACAGAAACCAGGAAACCTATTTCTTTTCCTAATAATCTTTTTGGACCTCTAAAAAGCTTATTATATAATGCCACACAATGGGATAAGAATTTTAGTTTGAACTGGTTAAATTCCTGATTCAGAAAGCATTTATTTATATAAATAATAACACTGAAATTAATAGGACTATTCATTTGTGCAGTTAGTCTTATACTTAAGTGTTTACCAGATTGGGGCCTTACTGGACATACCTACCTAAGATATGCAGTACATTATAATTTTTCCCTTAAAATAATTTTTTAGGCTCATAACTGAAATATATCATTACAACAAATTAATACCCAAAATGTCTTCATAGATATTGTTTGCAATGTATTAACAAATTATAAAAGACCTTTTTTGACTTGCAAAGTTAGCAATTAGTAACAGAAGATAATGTCTGGTAATAAATATAGAAAAACTAAGGATTCCTTATAGTGATGCTCCTCTGACTATAACCACCGTTTAATGTGCACATAGGATACTGGTCAAAAGTTTGTGCTTGCTGGAACTTTGTTTCTTACACAGCCTTTCATAGTGACAGCATGATACGACTTGCATTTGCATTCAGTACAGAGCAAGGTGAGGTGACAAATTCATAAGACCCTTTTGTCCCATGCCTGAAAACAATTTTACAGCTCAAATCATTGCAGGCTGTTAAGTTTAAAGGTGTCAAAATCAAAGCAGACTAACCTTTAGTCCTTCTAGTTCACTCTCCAGCTGCTTACAGTACTGCTCACTTCGCTCACGCAATTTCCTGTCCTTAGATGCCTCAGCAGCAGCAGCTTCAGTTTGAACTTCCAGCTACAAAAATAATTGTTAACAATAACCAGATTCGGATATTATACTTTTTCCAAACACACTGAGATTTCTTTTAGTGTAAGGGCTGAATGCCCAATTATTAGGCTGAAATTTTTGAATTCTTGAGGAACTAAATTGTGCATACAATGCCATAATCAAATGAATATCACTCTAAAGATTCACAGACTCATATAATTTTATTTAAATAAAGGTAGTGAAATAAGCGTTATTTTGCTTGCCCGAAAAGCCCTTCACATATCATTACTCCTCAAGGACTTTTTAAAACTCCTTTGGACTACTTACTTCTTTTTTTATTCTTTCTGTTCTGCGTAACTCCTGCCTTAAATTTTCTACCTTTTGCATCACCACTTCCATCTCTTCCTCCTTATCTCGGAGCTGGCGGGCAAGTTTCTGTTTTTGGGAGTGCAAGTCTGTCAGTCGCTCATTCATCTCTGAGAACTCCTGCATAGCCAGTTTCCGCTGGCTATGTGCATCTTTCAGCTCTTTGGCTTGGGATTTTAGTCTCTCACTAGACTCTGTCAGTTCCTACAGATTAAAAAAATGGAAAGGTTATAAACATACATAGAGCTACAGGGCTAAATTCTGCCCTACCTTTGGACAAGGGCATGAGGGCTCTAAGTAAAAGGAAACTAAATATTTACATCCTAAAAAAAACACCCACGTATGACAGGCTGACTGCTTGCAATGAACTGTGAAAATTATTTATGAAGGTCAGAGGCCAGATTAAAAACAACTGCAGCCAACTGAATCTTGAACTTGGCCCACTACACAGATTCAGTGCATGGAGTGTCAACACTTTTGAGACCATATCATATAACAAAACAATGATGATATTTTAATTCAAAGTATTATTGTCACACTTTTCCTGAATGATTTAAATCAAGTAAAGAAAAACTTGCATCATTAAATATTATATCTGTCAAATAAAAACTTCAAGTAATAAGTGAATGGAAAAATATTTTGTAAAAATCTCCATCTTCAAAGACTTTGGTAATCCTGTACAGTTATAATAACGCCTGTATTCTATACCTACACTATCATCAAGAACCAATAGCACAAATTACATATATATTCTTTAAAAGGGCATTTAAGTGCAGAAGCCAAATACTGTACTAGGAATACATCTACAAGGTAAAAATCATGTTGACAAAGCTAATGAAGACTGTAAAGTTATTTTACCTTACCTATTGCCATAAAACCGAGTCCATAAAAATTTGGCTGGATGTCATTAAACAATCCACAGTGGACTGATGCAGGTGAATGGAGAAAAAAGAGCCTAAACATGCATGTAGTATAGGGAAGACAGAAAACCTACTTTGCCATCTTGTTGGCTATGCAAGTCTAACAGTAGTTTCCAAATGTTCTAGCAGTTAAAGAAGACTAAGGGTGCCTGTAGATATGTAGGATGTCTGCTCTGATGTGCTGTAATTATCCCAAGAGCCACTCTAATTAAAGCACCCCTCCTCTCCCCACCCCTGGAGCACATGTTAAGATGCCCTTAGAGCCCAGTGCTGCCATGAGAAGATTGATGGATGGTCTCTCAAGCAGATACACAAATCCCAAGGCAGTAATAAATCATTTACAGATCAAAGCCAATACCTTAAATTTACTTAGCAAATTAGCATCCAAAGTACTGGATGCTAATAGTTTAATGCATTCATGATGCAACACCCCATTCAGCAAACAGATGCACCTATACTTTGCACCTTCTTCTGTTTCCCAGTTGGTTTAAGTTATAGCCTAGGGTAGAGCTCAAAATAATAAGTAGCATATGGAAACAAAGTTGGCATAAAAGTAGAAGTGTTACAACCTCCTGAGCAGAGGTGGGACAACAAAAGGATGTTGAGAAAGGCTGTCTGCACAGGTGCAGAAATACCTGGGTTAGCTCAGGTACTTGAAACAGTATAACTATGTTATAATTATAACATACAGGGTTTCGCCCAGGATCATTAGTCCTGTTATAGCATCAAACAAATGTAGCTATACTTTGGGGTACCTGAACTTGCTTGTTTAGACCTAGCTTGGATTTTTCATGGCGTTGCATTGTGATATGTAGAGATATCCAAAAAGGAAGAGAAATAATTCTGGTGAGAATATCTGTATGTTCCCCAAGTTAAATCTTAAATCTTTCAATTTGAAGAACTTTTATCTCCCTCTGCTGGAAATACTCATGCAACACAAAACAACCATCATCAGACTGTTCAGAGCATGACTTTCACCAGACTGATTAAATTAGTACTCTGGGGCAGTTCTTCTATCCTTTGCCTACTAACTGCTATAATTATCATTTTAATCTGAGGCCCAGAAAGGCTTTCTGTGCAGCCAACACGGAGATCATTTCATGGATCTGTTTAATGTCTGGAATCAATCGGCTAGGACCACCCAATGTGAAAGTACACATAATGTTTAAAATGATCTCCTTGTGTCAAAAAAGGAGTCAGAATTCAGAAAGAGTAATACGTTTGCATCATCACCTAATCAATTTTACTGTGAAATTAAGATGTTAAGGGAACATTCATTTCAAATGAAATATAATGAAATTACCAATATAATACTTTTTACCTTATTAAGGTCCTCTCTCTCTTGCTTCAGGCCTCTGATTTGTTTCTCAAAAGCCTTTATTTGCCTGGAAGCATCATCTAATTCTCGTCGTGCAGAACTGGCTTCCTCTAGTTGCTGTTCCAGCTGTCCAGAATCTAGAAAAAAAGGAGTACTCCTAAATACATAAGGGGAAATCATGCTTGCTCTTGAATAGCATAGACTGGCTGGCCTAAAGTTGTGCATATTACACAACACATACGCATTCTTTTATGGAGGTAGTGTAACAAAGGCCCCCTCTATATATTACAGGTCTTGCACAATTAACACGAGACCAGCTACACATGCAAAGTACCCATCACACCATAAAAAGCTCCAAACAGTTTTAATTTGCATGTGTAGCAGGGTCTCCTCTAAAGCTGGGGGTCCCATCAGTTGACAGGGCTCCTGGGTGCAGGAGTGCACTATGCCTAGCCAGTATTGAGTCCCGAAACTGGGGTTGCAGCTACCCCAAGGGCGTGTGAAACTCCTGAAGCTAGGGGACCATGATAGCCACAACCCCCGAGCCCCAGGGATGGGTGGGGTGTCCCCACAGCTGGGAGCCCCTCAACTGCGGATATGGTGGCCATTGGTCCTGTTCTATACTGGACCAACCTGTTTTAAACCCTCTGCCTCCTGTCCATTTCTGAATGAAAAACAGATAGCAAAAAAGTCCCATTTTTCAGTTCATTGGTGGAAATACATGTTAATCATTTGTCCTCGTGATTCTATTGGCTGTTCCTAGAGGTGGACAGTGCAGTCAGGAGGAAAGGGGTTTGAGCCAGCCAGGGAGGGAGGAAGGGAGGGTTGGCCCCTCCCTTGCTGCTGACTGGCCAAGGGGCCTGGTGACCCCACCCCACCCTGATGATTGGCTGAGGTGTCTGTAGCCCCACCCCTCACCACTGATAAGTGAAGGGGGCTCACCCCTTACCAAGGGATTGTCCTGTGTTCTGGGGATATGTCAGTGGCCACCCTAACTGAGGAGATTCCCAGCCAAGGGAGCTTGCTTCTTATTGGTGCAGGGGAAGCCTTAGATTGGGCTCCTCTGCACCAGCAGTAAGGCATGACAGGATCTAAGGCATGATCCCATGATCATGCCTCCTGCCATGCATGTGTGACATGGCAGGAAGTGCAACTGTGTAGCTAGCACAGTAGATTCCATTGTACCTGTAGCAGCACATGTTGATGGGCCCAAAGGTAATTTCAAACTACCAGTGAGCGCTAAATCATTGTCTAGTTTTATTCATGTATTACGACTGCTTTGTTTCTCTTTAATGGGATAGAACATGCTAGAATATGGCATACCAAATGATAATACATTGTTGTTTTATTATGTGACATACTATGGCAAAGATTGCATCATACTATAATGTACTGCAGCACGTCACGTGCCCTTGGATAGTCCACACTGTGGTGAAACGTATTAATAGATATGTCTCAAATGACACTGTCTCCAGTGAGTTATAGTGGTTAGGATTTATTTCATGAAAAGAGCCACCAAATAGGGTGGGCTACCCAAGAGCTGGCAAGTGTTCTCCTCTGGATATAAATCAAATTAATTTCAGATGGCTGAATTTATTTCTAGTATTAGCACTATTTGTATTTATGGGATTTACTTTAATAATTGCTATAACTGAGGAAAAATATGTATTTCTACAAGCATTTTCTTATGATCTAATAATTTAGTAAGCAAAAATCATTTTTAAAGCACATCGAAATTACGTTGTATAAATGTCCAAATATTACAACTGAATAATCAGAACTGCACAAAGAATAATATGCCACTGAAAAGCTCAAAGGGCAAGGAAAATCCATCATAAATTGAAATCCAATTCTTGATACTCCCTTCCTTAAAGCCGTATATTTACAGAGATATATAAGTAAGTTGAAATTAAATCCTGGCTCTGTGAATCAATGCAAGTTTTGCAAGATTTCACATCATAGCCATATATTTACACAGCAATACATAGGCACTCACAGTAAAAACACGTTTCAGGTCCTTACATTTCAGAAATACAACTCCAAGGCTAAGTACAGAGGTTCAAAAAGCCTGAGGAGAAACTGATTCAATCTTTGCAGGTTTTTCTCAGTTGGGCAGATTGGACTGATAATGAACTGAACTGATGTTCAATATACCAGTGACCAAAGCAGGCAGAAGTCTGCACTGGCCCAGGCCAGGAGACTGGGGTTGCTCACATGTTTCCCATCAGGTTGGATATTGCCAAAGGCTGCTGAACCCAGCAGATTGGCAGCCCACACCTGATTGGCAGCTGGACAGATTTCTTCATCCCCTGCTGTCAGCTGCATGGAGGGGGAGAGCCAGCAGACAATCCCTCCCCAGCCCCCTCCCCCCCGCAAGCCACTTGCCTCTTTGAGAGGTGGGGTGAAGAGGCAGGGAGGGGGGTGAACCCCCCAGCCCAGCACCAGCCCTCCCACTGCAAGATTCTGCATGGTGCAGGGGGGAAGCCTGCATGGGGGGGATTTTCCAACCCACTTGTGGCCCAGCAGGCTGGGCTGGGAAAGCCCTAGCCCTGCCCCTTCACCAGCTTCCTGCTCGTCTGAGAGATGGGGGGTGGGAACGCATCGTCCCCCACAGCCTGGCACTGGTCTGCCCCAACAGAGGTCTGCATGGCCCCTGCATTCCCCCTCCTCTGCCCCCCCAGCTCTCAGTGAGGCTGGCAGCTGGTGAGGGGGCAGGGCTGGGGGTCTCTCAGCTTGTGGCTGGCTAGGGTCACTGCTCATTGTGCAGACCTAGACTGGGGGGTCTGGGAGCCTGTTACCTTGGCCCCCCACATGCTGCTGGGCTGACAGGCACAGGCAGGATGCAGGCGAGGAAGCAGAGGCTTTACTGCCTCAGCTCTGTGACAGCTGAGGTCAGGGCTGGCCTGGAACAGACAGCACAGCCCAGGGTTGCAAAGCATCCCGGGATGCTGGAGGACTCTGAGGTAACTTGAGTTGGGAGAGGATCTGGGACACAAGTTTGATAGACTGATTAAACCTAAATCAGTTAAGCCTGATAACTACATCGAACCAGATTTATCTTACACTGGGTTCAGCCATTCTGAAAGTGGTTTATGTGCACTGAACTTCTCTTATGTTACAGGTCTGAATTGGTTTCCAATCACTTATACCAGTTTATGTGCAACTTCTGTCCTGGGCCCAAGTGACTGGCTCTCAGAGCAAGCATAGTAAAACATACATGCACACACACATGCATGTAAAGGGCAAAGATTTTTGTGGGTGTTATTTTTTTGGATGAGAGCCACGCATTTATCACCCACAAAAATCCTTGCCTCTCGCCTATTTCCTGGACCATCACATATACAACATCACTCCAAAACTATACACTTATATGAGAGCTGAAAGTTTTGGAATGCAGGGATTGTAAAGGTAGAAGAATGATTAACTTTTACCCATATAAACATTCACTACTGCATTAATTTGCTGACCCGTTTTAAAACTTTAAAAGAATGCACTTCCAACTACAGATATAGCTCAGTGCCAGAAAATATTAACTGCCTGTCTCACGTGTTCTCCTCTGAAGTCACCAGCAAAAGAAAGCTATATGCAACTACACTGAGCCAAGATAAATCTCTCTTCCATGCGTGAACTACTTTGTTCCATAGCTCTATTTTCTTCTTCGATTGCTATCCTTTACATATTTGGCAATATTAAGGATTCCTCAAAGTTTTCTCCTATGTAACTTAGAGAGCAAAAATTATAACTTTGACCTCAAAATTGAAAGCATATGCTGCGTTGTCATTTCCTGGAAGACTGGATAGACAAAAATGTCCTGATTTTTTTTTTTTTTTTACAAAGATCCCAGTGGGGAAAGTCCTGATGCTGACACATTTCTGCATTCATTTTCACTATCTTCTTCAACGGGTGTTTACCATCACACCACCAGTTAGGCAATAATGCAGTTCTAAGGCTTGAACTAAAACCTGGTAGCTATATTTTAATAACAAACAATAATTCTCCATTTGGTCATTCCACTGTCATCCCACTAACATATTTGTTCCTTCATGAAAATATATATTATGGGATGCTATTCATATGGTTTAATTTATTAGTCACAGAGATGAACCCACACCAGAACTCACTTGGCTCTTGTTGTTTGGGTGGTGCAGGCTGGGGCCAACCTAGAAGTTTGGATCTCATTCCTGGTTTGAACTCCCCCAAAGTTTGGAAATGTTGATAGGAGTATTTGGTTTCTACTCATCTCTTGTCAATGGCCAAGTTTTAAAATTTATGTTGTAAAAAGCATGAAAATATCTTAAATACAGCATTCCTTCCCTATAACAAACTTTTCAGTGGGTTGGATCAGATGATTCAAAACACACTGAACAACTCAGAACCTTCCATATAAGGGCTGCAACTTAACCAAGTGAACCAGGAAAAGTATTCAAGTACGTATTGTAAGGGTAAACCATTCACTGGCTGCAGACATTTAAGTGACTATGTATAACTCTTCTCTATTTCTACTATGATCAGACTACTCACAATAATTTTGACAGCATTTGCATTTTTTAAAATATTTTTTAACTCTTTGCCTTTAGTAGTTTAATATTTTTCAGTGCCAGCCAAGCTAAAGACCTGGTTTGTATGTGTGCACATACAAACTCACACATTTATACTGCATTTATCCAAATCCAAGATGACTCTATATTTTAGACAACCCCCTAATAATTACATTCTAGACATGGAACATGTATAAATTTGTTATCATTTTCCATGTTCATAATCCATTTTTGGAGTGTTATCTTAAATGCATTCCCGCAGTGGGGAAAGTAATGGCAGGGTAAAAGGTGGTGGTAGTGGGGCAAGGGGCTCAAATGACCTGGCCATTGCTCCTTTCTGCCTGTCCCCCCCCCCAACCACTTGCCCTGACAGCATCTGCATGCCCCTTCCCTGCCTGCCATGGTGTCTGCACCCCTTGCCACTTGCCCTTCCATTTCCCCCCCAACCTGTCCTTACCAGCAACTATCCCCCCTGCCACTGCAGGCTGGGGCTAGGGCTGTGCTGGGCTCTTCCTGGTGTGGGGGCTGTGTTCAAGGCTGTGGGGACGCATTCAGGGTGCTCCTGGCTGTGTGGGAGCTGTGCTTGGCGCAGGCAGCAG